ACGAAAAACGTTAACTTTATGATCAAGGTCTCAAATGTGTTTAAACAGAGTACTGAGCCATTACCCGATGATTGGCTTCGCTCACATTCCTTTACTTTACTTTACTAAACAAGAAGTCAAAGGAGAGAACTTGGAGTGGACCTGGCTGGATCGGTTTCGGGTGGTCGCGTTGAAATGTAGGCAACACATGAAAAAAAAATCGGTAGACTGATTGCATTCACTAAAACAGAATAAGGGTAAATCGGAAACAGGGTTGATGTAAGAGACAAACAAAATATTATCTCGGTACCAAGACCAACCGTATTGCTGAAACATAAAGCCCTTTATTACGCCGAAATGTGACTGGTGAGTTTGCCAAACTGCCACTGGTTGTTGCGCGCAGAAATTCGAACTGCTTTCCGGGGCGGGGGCCCTTGGCCGTTATCACCTCAGTCGCCTCCAGACTTAACGAGTCGATCCTAGTAGTTTTTGTAGATAGTTCCATAGCCTAACCTGTTTCCAGACCTGTGGCCCTGTGGCAATGGCGACGAGGCGCGGTAAACTCAAAGGGGAATGAAGAACATACAAACCTACAGCCCGCAATCCATGCCGCAATGCTGTCAGACAAGTGAATGTATTGAATATAATGCAGGGGACCAATTTCAAACAGACATTAAGCGGAAAATAGAGAAAATAAATTAAGATTATTGCCCCATCATTGATTGATAGGTGCCGGCTGCCGGGCTGGTGTGGTGAGACCGTCGACTCTTCTCATACTTCAGTAGCTCAATATTTCGCATATTGAACGTGCTCTGCTCTATGTGATGGAATTCGAAAACACAACAAACCACTAAACCCAAACAAGCCCGCACCGCGGTCGAATGCTTTTCTGTATTTACCTCGATGAATACATTACTTTTAGCTGAAATGGTTTTCTTTTTAAATGTGCTTAAGGTGTAAGCAAACCTCCGACCTATCGCAAAAGTGAATATATCCTATATAAGCTATATAAGAGGTAGCAATATACAACATTGTTTTCATTGCACCTGTCATTATAGGTTTGTCTGATGTATTTTCTGGTTACAGAGAAGAAGTGTACAAAAGGAGTTAACAACATGACCCTGTATTTAGACTATCGGGTCCAGACTCCAGATTCATCTGCCATTAATGTTGATGTGAAATGGCATTCCCATCATTTAATGTTAGCAGTGACATCCTGCAGTGAAGAGAGAGGTGGTTTTATCACCATTTATGATGAACTGGTACACAACTAAATATTTAATATCTACTGGTTTCTGTTGATTTGAAACATTTGCCTGATAATGTGCTGTTTATTTTTTCTTTTCAGGGGGAACCCTTACAAAATGTTTCTTTCTCACAGCAACCATCTTCTCAAATAACATCTTCTGCTTGGCACCCTGATAAAAAGGTCCTGGTTTGTGGGTGGGAAAATGGGGATATACATGTTTGGAATGGAGGGTCAGAATTCCAATCTGTTCAGTCTCCTCATCAAGGCAATGCTATCACGAGTCTTCTATGGAGTCAACGTGGAGGAAGACTTGTCAGCATAGATGCAGTACGTTAAAGTCATCTCCTTGCATATATATTAATGTTCTTCCGTGTCTCACATTATTTGTTTTTTTGATGTCTGAATGTGCTGCTTAATGTTTTAGAATGGTGGTCTTGTTGGGTGGAGGCTTGATGGTCATGACCATATATCACTTGTGTTCCATCAAACACTTCGGGAACCATTGACCCACATCATATTCAAGCAACGTGAAGCCAAGGTTCCGCAAATGGACATATCAGGATTAGCTCGAGCTGCTGTTGCTGGTGATGAAAAAGCTTTAGATTTATTCAGTGCTTGGCGACCTCGAACTGCTGGGAATCGATATACATTAAATTCGCAGGGACAAGATGGCCTGGGATTTTATGTTGCATCTCTAAGAGGTAGATTTGAAGGAAGTGTGCTTTTAATGTTTTTTGCGTAAATATCTCATACTATTCATTTTTTTTTAGGAGTCATTTATTTTGTGTCAGAGTCAGGATCATGCTCTGAGGTATTTAATGGTGAGGGGTCAATCATAAGGAAATTGCTTTATCATCGGAAAAAGGATCAATTAATTGTCATAACTGAAGGGCTAACAGTTACTCAATTTCAAACTGATTCAGATGGAGTTCTTTCAGAACTATCCAAGGTTTGCAATTAGATGTGTAAAATGAATTTATTATTGTTATCTGAAAAAAAATTGATTTAGGAGCAACATTGTCTCAACAGGTGAAACTTAGTGCTCAGACAGTTGATGTGAATATTTTGTGGGCTGGTCCAAGTTGCCTGGCAATTACTGTGGGTGACCTTTCTGTTCGGTTGTGGGACCTGGACTCATCTGAAAGTTATCTGCTTACACCACCTCAAGATGAATCACATAACAGCCCTACCCGTCAGGCTTTTATTTGTTTGGCCTATTGCAACTTCCGTGGTTAGGTCTATATGAATCAGTGACGACCCTATTATGCAAAACGATTTAATTTTGTTTATTAAAGTTATATGTTTACTTTTTAGAAATACTGTGTGCTGGAACAAATAGTGGATATATTTACATGTGGAAGAAACATGCACCTGAGTCTGATATGAGTGATAGTGTTGATGCGTGGGAACTGCTGCCCCCAACTAATGTAAGGAACTCTGTGAAACAAATACAGTGGGGTCCAGGTGCTGGTCAGCTTGCTGTTAATTGCATCACAAATGTTTATATTCTACGGGAACAAGTCTTGGCTGCCAGCTACAATCAGCAGGTTTGTTGACAGGAATACCTAAATAAATCTTCCTAAATGTCTTATTACTCATAATAGTGATAACTGTATGTAATTTAGGTTTCAGTTGTCCAAATATCTGGTACAGCATTGGTGGTTTCCATTGGAACCAACTACCCTTTACTTGACCTTCACACTGATATCCAGGTAAAAGGGGTTGCTGTATCAAGTGATCATATTGCAGCATGGAGTGGCCGTACTGTAATTGTTTACCAGTTATTACTTGGTGAATCGGTGTCAATCAGTGTTGAGGGTAAGTGTGACATTTAATGGATTACTACCGGTATTACAAATATAGTTCCAAGAGCCTTAAAGCTAGTCTCACAGTATGGGTAATTATAACTTCACTTTCAACAAAAATATTTGAATTGATTAAACTTTATATGTGTGTGTGCAAATGATATTGGTAATGAGTTTTTTAAGTCAACAGCAATGATATTAAGTGCTTGAATGATGTAAAATTTGAAGTGATGGTGTGATTAAAGTGAAGTTTCCTCCCAATATGTGGTAGGACCGCATTTAGAAATATGTGTCTTGTAAAATAAAATTGGACTCATGGTTTAATTTGAAATTTCAGGTACATTTTCTTGCATTGTAGAAGCAGCGGTTATTATAGATAAAAGTATTGTTGTCTTGGGAGGAGGAGAACCAATGTCCCTTGCTTCCACCAATCCCACCATAACTGTACAAACCTTTCAGGTACCTGTTTGGCTTATTCTATCTTTGGGAAAGACTCGACCCCTGGAGTGTGCTGCTCTAAGTGTAAGAGATTTTTTTTAAATCTAATTTTGATCTTGTAGGGAACTGTGAAACAAACACTGGCTGTCAATGATCAGGAAGGTAGACCTCTTTCAATGGAACTTAATGGACCATTTTTAACTGTTACAACTGACATTGGATTCATCAAGATGTGGGACTTCTCTCGCAGGTAATTTTTATGACCACATATTTCTATTACTAGCCAATTCAAACCTTAATGTATTTCAATGTTTTATTGCAGGGAGGCCAAAACCCATGGTCAGTCAAAAGACATAGCTGAGGCACTAACAGATTTTGGTGAAATAATTCTTGCTCGGAGCAATTGCACTGGCAACAAAGTGTCTTTTACAATTGCTCAGGTTTGTTGAAAAGTCTTTTATGTTATTTTATTCTATTTGATATGAAGTTCTAAAAATATGTTTAACTTCTTCCCAAATAACACCTGAAAAATGTATTTCATTCAATTATTATTTATTTGTAGTCAAATCTACTGCCAGAACCTAAACTTTATGTTTGGGATGTCGAGAGTGATACCATTTGTTATTTAAACCTAACAAATGGTAAAATCAGCTCTGAAGAAGCTGCTAATGAAACAGAGAAGACTAGAGAAGGCCTCCCTGAAGATGAGTTTTCACCAAGACGGTAAATGTTGCTTTATAAAAATGCCAAGGAATTTTCATCTATCTGTAGTGTTATCTAGCATTCCTTACTTAAACTCTGACCAATTGATTGACAGAGGACTGGTTGGGCGCTTTGTTCTGTCACATTGTTGGGATCAAGAAGAACCTAAACTTCTTGTCTGTGAGGCAAAACGCCACCCGCAAGCTCCGAGCTTGAAGACAAAAGAGAAAACTTCATTGTGGACTCGAAGGGCGTCCTCCACTGTTATGACAATGCCAGCATGTAATGATACCTCAGCAAGTACAAAACGTCTAGCTGCTATACAGGTAAATTTCATCATCTCAAACAGACCGTTGTTGGTTTGCCTTTTTATTCAATTGACTAGAATTCAAGTAGTTAAATTATGTACTCTAATTTTAGGAGGCTGAGGTAGTTGTTATAACTCTTCTCTCTTCACCTGATCATGATGTTCTCATCCAAGATGTCCTTCCCCTGGCTGACTGTCATTCAGGACTGCTTGGTCTGCATGTACCATTTTATATACTCTTGCGCAAGGTATGCACTTTCAGATGTCATGTGGATTATTAAAAAGTACTTAAACTAAAATGCTCACCTAAAATACACTAATTTTTAGAGTCAAGACTGGAAGCTGCAGTCTCCAGTTGAAAGAGTCCTTTTGAGGGACTTTGAGGGTCTGGCTGATTGTGATAAAGGTACGAAAGAGGCTATTATCAATTTCAGCTACCACTTGAGTCTGGGTAATATGGATGAAGCATTCAAAGTCATAAAATCCATGCAAAGGTAAAATAGTAGGTGTAAGCCTCTACTCTCTCCTTTACCATAGCTTCCTTCTTGTCATTATTCTATAAATAAAATTTGCAGCACTGTGGTGTGGGAAAGCCTTGCTCGAATGTGTGTGAAAACTAAGCGCCTTGATGTTGCTGCAGTGTGCTTAGGTCACATGAAACATGCTCGCGGGGCTAGAGCTCTGAGACTTGCTTCCTCTGAACCTCAGCTGGAAGCCCGTGTTGCTGTGTTAGCAGTCCAGCTAGGTCTTCTGGTGAGTTTCAGATTTTTAACTGTCTCTTTCTTATGATGTCTTTTTTTTGTTTCTTTTAAATTCCACTTAATTGTATTCTTTTTTATTTTTGTGTATCTTTAGGATGAAGCAGAGAGATTGTACAGATCATGCGGAAGACTTGATCTTTTGAATCAACTATACCAAGCCAGTGATCAGTGGGACAAGGCATTAGCCACTGCAGAAGATTCTGACCGTATTCACCTCAGAGGCACATATCACAACTATGCTGGTGTGCTGGAGCAACGGGGAGATACTAGTGGAGCAGCTCATATGTATCACCGTGCGGATACCCACCGACATCAGGTACCTAGAATGTTACAACAAGACCCAGCTGCACTGCAACAGTACACATTAAAGTCTAAAGATCCGTAAGTATATTCACCCATATATATTTACAATGCCCTTACACTGAGCATAAGGTTGGTATTTCACCTTTCATTGTGGTTCACTTGCAGGGCTCTTATTAAGTGGTGGGCCCAGTACCTCGAAAGTACTGGACAGATGGAACTTGCCTTAAAGTACTATGAGGAGGCTGGTGATCACCTCTCTACAGTTAGAGTATTATGTTTCCAAGAAGATTATGAGAAAGCTGCTGAAGTAGCAAGTGTCAGCAACAACCGTGCTGCTTGTTATCACTTAGCTAGACAATACGAAGCCATAGATGACATACAGCAAGCTGTGCAGTTTTTCACGCGAGCACAGGCTTATGCTAATGCCATTCGTATCTGTAAGGAGCATAGTTTGGATGAGCAGCTGTGGAACTTATCTCTTCTTGCATACCCAAGAGATCAATTAGAAGCTGCAAGGTACTTTGAAACCTCTGAGCCTCCAAGTCCAGAAAGGGCTGTGCTGCTCTACCATCGATCTGGCATGCTGCACAAAGCTTTGGATCTTGCTTTTCGGTATGATTAATCTAAAGCATTGAATCAGTGAAGAATAGTCTGATAATCTATCTATCAATATGTAATTAATAATTAATTTTTATAGAACTCAACAGTTTGATGCTCTCCAACTGATTGCCGTGGACCTGACATCATCTTCTGATCCTGCACTAATTGAAAAGTGTGCCAGATTTTTTGTTGAAAACAATCAGTATGATAAAGCTGTTGATTTGCTTGCTGTTGGAAAAATGGTATAGAGTAACATTATAAATAATTACAGTATTTTATAGTTAGATACCTAATTCTTCATTGATTGGTTGATTATTCTTAGATCTCAGAGGCACTAGAGTTATGTCTGGAGCACAACATAACAGTTACAGATGAGTTAGCTGAAAATTTATCCCCAGAAAAAGGAGAAATAAGTGAGGAAGAAAGAATTGCTATTCTTGAAAAGCTAGCAGACTGTTGTCAGATGCAAGGAAATTATCATCTTGCTACCAAAAAGTTCACACAAGCTGGAAACAAAGTGAGTTACAGAACAATTGATGATGCAGTTTCCACCCAAAGAAAAAGTACTGTACATACACTGATTGTTTTTGTTGACACTCTTCAAAACGTTTTCAGGTGAGGGCTATGAAAGCTCTCTTAAAGTCTGGTGACACAGAAAAAATAATATTTTTTGCCAATGTGTCACGTCAAAGAGAAATCTATGTAATGGCAGCAAACTACCTTCAGTCTCTGGATTGGCAAAATGAGCCTGCTTTGTTGAAACACATTGTAAATTTTTACACCAAAGGGAAAGCTCTAGATTTATTAGCTAATTTCTATACTGCTTGTGCACAGGTCAGTTTTTTTTTGTTTGTTTTTTTGTTTTTTTTATCAACTACTCAAAACTGAAGTGTTTGATGAATTTAAATTTACCTTATGTTTTATGTTTGCACACTACTTTGTGTGTGGTTTTGCTTTTCAGGTAGAAGTTGATGAATATCAAAATTATGAGAAGGCCCTAGGGGCCTTGTCTGAAGCAAGCCGGTGTCTTGCCAAAGCAGGATCTTTAAAAGAAGGAGTGGTAGAAGCGGTAAATCTTCGAACAGCACTTGTAAAAAAATTCCTGGATGTGAAAAGGTAAAGCATTAATTGCATTTTTCTTGTTAGGTATATTAGATAAAATTATTCTATTCTGTTGGTCATTAATATTTTACAGAATGTTTGAAAGAGGGGAGACTGACTTGGCAGTCAGTCAGTGTCGTCAGCTACTTCACAATGCTCCGGACTTAGAGGTGGCTGTAAGAAGAGGGGACGTGTATTGCTTGTTGGTTGCTCACTCTGCAAAGCAAAGAGACTGGAAGAGTGCTGCTAGCCTGATTGAGGAGATGAAGAGAGAAGCTGGAGACAATCTGGCATATTACCTCCCAGCTGGTAAGTTTGACCAGTCTTTACTCAAATCCCTCAATTACCTAATATTTCTGTAAACTTTAAAATTAAAAAAAACAAAAAAAAAAACACGGAATTTTCAGAATTGCTTGATTTGCTGTCTGCTAATGGTGTTGCTGGTGGATCCAAGTCTCAAAACCCCCTGGTTGTGTCACCGGATGATGGTATTGATGAGGAAGCTGAAGAGATCATTGAAACGGTAGGTGATGTTGATACAGAATGAAAGGTTCATCAACTTGAAGATCATCAGGTTTGACCTTCTCAGCTCAGGTAAATATTGTGTTCTCTTATCCGTCCATGTTGTTTGATCTCATATCGTTTTTACTCTCCTACATTTTTGATTTGCATCTAACCCTGATTGGTTTTTAAATTAATTTACTGGAATCTAAATTAAGTTAACCTTTGGTTTCCTTCAGAGTATTTTGTGTACAATTTATTTTTATGTTGTAGTTTCCTGTGATATAATGTACCATTATAGTCCATTCTATTTATTGTAGATCTTAACCATTTTGCATTTATTGCATGCTCACAATCTCAGTTAAATATTTGTGGATTAGTTAAGAGTCTTGTTTTGGTATGTCCTTGGGGTTGTAGGTTTTGATGTTTGTGCTCATTGCATTTTGTGAATAATGGTAAAAGAACTTTAATCTGCTTGTACCATTCTTTATGCATTGGAAAGTTGATCCTGTGTTAGTGTTGGTATTTTCTCTATTTAATTACTGGTAACTATCCAGCATGACAATCTGTGTTTTTGTTTGCCCGTGCTGTGGGAAAATAATGCATGTGCTGCAATTTTAATTTATGAGGAAATGAGTTGTGAATGCCGGAGGCAAGAAAACATAAAATTACATTGAGTTACTTCAATGAGATGTATTTTGTCATTTGAGATCTAGGTAATAGAAAACTGAAACATGAAAAGAAAATGTTTTACATCAGAAATATAAAAGAACATATAAAACAATACCGCATAACTTTTTTGTGTTTTGAGCTCTTTTTATGAAACAAAATATTATCAGCCTACAAACACATCACATGAAGTGTATTTTTGTGAACTGATACACACCATATGGCAATGTTCAAACTTTGTTAGTAACATGGTGATGCAAAATCAAAAAGGCACACATTATGACCCTGTGGAGGGGTCTACAAGAAGTTTCCCTTATGTTTTACTCTTGTTTTATTTTCCACAAACTCAGAAACTAATTAAATGCTCATAAGCATCCATAAATGTTGATGAACTAACCGACTTTTATTCATTTAATTGAATCCCTTTTTTTCTGTAATCTGTGGTACATCATACTTTTTCTTAGTATCCTTACAGTAACAAAACATACTCAACAAATTAGGTAGTATCATAACTCTCAGTTGTACTTTCTTTTGCTTTGTCTCAAAATAGGTTTGCCATTGATCTTGAAACGACCATTATCAACAAAATAGTCATATTTTCTACACCATTCGTATTAAAAATTGATTGATTGTATCCTAAATATAGTTGGCATGAAATATGTCATCTCTTGGAAAATATATTACTGAAATTCTGTGAAGTCTTTTCCTAGCTCCAGATTTAAATGTACATACCTATGTAATATTTTTTTCTAATTTTTAAGTAACACAGGGTGTTATTCTCTCTATTGAAAGTATGAGGCCGGAGGGTTTTTGAGGGGAATGTCTTGCATGCGTTGTATTTACTCTTCCTCAGATTTTACTGCAAGGCTGTTTCACGATGTATGAAATATGCAGGGTTTAGACGGGGCATTCATTGTCATTTGTTGGATACGTTCTAGTG